TAATTTTGTGTATTAAAAGTATTCGAAATATATTATGTGAATTAAAATGAATGAAGTGAGTAAATAAAAATTACATTATAATTCATTGATTTCCTCCCATTTCGATTTTTATGCAAACTCCTCTGGGTTGCTGAAATGTGTCAGCGTTAGCAAAAAAGGAGAGTAAGGAGGAAAGAGGCCAGACCAGACGAAACCACAGTCTGCTGTTACAATACAACGTTGCTCACAATGTTATCCGTATTGACAATGCAACTGCAGACTGTTGAATGTTAATCATTGAATTAATAGAATATAATTCAGTATGAATTAAAGAAACTGTAACAGTTATTTTGGAATGACAAATAAATATTTTAAACTGGTTGAATGTTTATTACTATATATATAGGAACCTAATCGATTCTCAATAGTCATGAGAAATAGCAACAGTTTTTAATAACGAACACGATTTATGGTTTAAGAGGATTTAATTATAAAATCCGTTATCAGTACTCTTCTCTTCTGTTCACCTTTCATAAACATTCGCCTTTGCATTCGATAAATATATCACAGGTGAACTTCATTGATCGGCTCTGCTGTGCAACGATTGGACAACGTGGCGCGCATGCGGTTCTACAAAGGAACCGACCAACCGGCGAGCTCAGTATCGATGTGTGCGTGTGACCTGTATACTTAGAAGCGGAAGCATTGCCCAGTCGCCCGTTTCCGTCTTCCCAGTGCCTGTCTGCCATTACTGCTCTGCTCGCCGGGTCTTGCAGGGTAAGTCCGTCCAGATATTTCTGACTTATGAACGTAATTCTTCTTAGAATTCTTTACTAAATCGTCACAGAACCAAGCTGCTCGGTTGCACGATTGTTTAATTTGATTTCTCGAACAATCGTTCTTGTTCACAGGTGTAACTGGTATAACTGACATAGTTTCTAAAAAATCGAAGATCGTTCATACGGAACTGGTAGCGTGTCAGCAGATTTTATCCAACTTTCGCCGAGATGTATAACAACACTTATTCCAATAATACCAGGTACGTTACGATTATAAATTCTCAGTGTTCAATATGGCGATGGTATACGTTGGCAAACGTTAGAGAAGCTTTTTTGCAACGTCGTATTCACCATCTTGGTCGTAGACGGTATTGATCGCAGCTCGTATTGAACCAATTTATTACGTCTTCAATTAATAATTCCGTACTTTCTATGAAGCTCATCATCTTGAGACGCGAAACGACGAAATTCGTTCACATTAAATACTTACCGAACATGATCGAAAAAAATTTAGTACATACGTCACAGGGAACTAAAATGGCGTTTCCGTTATCTAATGGAAAGCTACCGACGGTTATAAAATCGAGGCACATATTCAAGAAAATATTTTCAGAAAACTGTACATTCGTTGATATCCCTACATCCCTGGATTACATTTATTTATAATATTACATTATTAAATAATTAATTGAAATTAATTTACATCATTCCAAATATGTAATTGGAATATGATGAATATTTTAGATCATTAAATTAATATTTAAACAAAATACAATACATTTTTTATGAAATAATTACTAGTTCATGATTCCGGTAATTATTTGCAAAGAGGTATTCCCAGTGTTGAAATATATTATAGGGGTCATGATTTTGATCAATTCCCCTTTCGATTCCTATTGCTTGTCTCTATATTTTTAACTTGTTGCCTGATAAATTATTTTTTTAAAGAAATTCAAGTAGTTTAGTCCAATTTTAAGAAAGTTACTCTGTTTTAAAGTAAATAATAAGTAATATAATAATAAAAAAAATAAGTAAACTTCTATAGTAAAAATTGATTCACATAACATGGAAATTTTTGGCTCCGTGAAATCCTCCGCGAAAATGTAAGAAATCCTTAAGCAGTCAATATTGCAGCGACTGAAGTTGCAATGATAGCAATTCGCAAATGTCATGTGATAGTGGCAGAAGTTCCTCTCGAATATCTCAGAAACCAAGTCCGACATGTATAGGGGAAAAATTGTTCAAAATCATCCCTCCGACAACATGTTTTGACGTGTTCGAAATCAGTGGGAAGTGCCTGTTCGTAAATAATTATGATACCTTCTACTGGAACACTGAGGCTAAAAATACATCGATTTCATGGAAATCAGTTACAGACCCAGGGGCACTAGAGACTCTGGCAGTCGTAATGGAGGGGGTACATATTGGAACAGTCAACAGCAAAAGGATAAACCAATGCAGAAGAAGCGGGTCCAAAGGAGAACACCTGGAGATTCGTTGAAGAAGCCATCTTGGGATTTAAATAAATTGCCAGTGATCACAAAAAATTTATATATTCCGCATATCAATGTCTTAAAAAGGACCACCGATGAAATTTCTAAATATCACATTGGTAAAGAGATCACTGTAAAGGGGAACAATACACCTTCTCCGATTCAAGCGTTCGAAGAGAGTAACTTTCCGGATTACGTGATGGAAGAGATTAGGAAACAGGGTTTTGCGGAACCGACAGCAATCCAGGCACAGGGGTGGCCCATTGCGCTCAGCGGACGCGATTTGGTGGGAATCGCCCAAACAGGATCTGGAAAAACTCTAGCTGTACGTGTTTTAATATAATTTCGATAAAAACTTCAAGGCGATCAACCTATTGTTTTGTAATAACGCATAATTGTTTCTTTTTTCAGTATATTTTACCAGCAACGGTACATATTAATAATCAGCCACGCTTAAATCGGGGAGATGGTCCGATCGTTTTGATACTCGCCCCAACAAGAGAGTTGGCTCAGCAAATTCAGTCCGTTGCCAGGGACTTTGGTTCCTCCTCGTGCATCCGTAATACCTGCATCTTCGGTGGTTCTCCGAAAGGACCACAGGCCCGCGACTTGGAACGCGGCGTCGAAATATGCATCGCCACGCCCGGCAGACTAATCGATTTTCTCGAGAAAGGAACAACGAACTTGCGCAGATGCACGTACCTCGTCCTGGACGAAGCCGACAGGATGCTAGACATGGGTTTCGAGCCACAAATTCGCAAGATCATCGAGCAGATCAGACCCGACAGACAGGTGTTGATGTGGTCCGCGACATGGCCGAAAGAAGTTCAAGCTTTGGCCGAAGATTTCCTCACAGATTACATTCAGATTAATATTGGTTCCTTGACGTTGGCGGCCAATCATAATATTCGACAGATCATAGAGATTTGTCAGGAACATGAGAAGGAAATGAAATTATCGAATCTCCTTAGAGAAATCGGCAAGGATCGCGGAAGTAAAATGATCATTTTCGTTGAAACTAAGAAGAAGGTGGACGACATTACCAAGACCATCAAACGGGACGGTTGGCCAGCGATTTCTATCCACGGCGACAAATCGCAGCCGGAAAGAGATTACGTATTGTCCGAATTTAGAAACGGAAAAACAATGATCCTCGTTGCGACCGATGTTGCTGCTCGTGGTTTGGACGTCGAAGATGTGAAGTATGTAATCAATTTCGATTACCCGAACAGTTCCGAAGACTATATTCACCGAATTGGAAGAACCGGACGTTGTCAAAGCGCAGGAACGGCATACGCTTATTTCACGCCTAACAACGCCAGACAAGCAAAAGAATTGATCTCTGTTCTCGAAGAAGCTGGTCAGGTGATAAATCCACAATTAGCCGACCTGGCGAACTCCATGAAATCCGCTTATGGAAAGGGCCGTCAACGTTGGAGCCACTCTCGCTCTAATAAGGATAGTAACTCGAGCGGTAGTCCAAGAAATAACAGCAGCCCGTCTTCTAACAGTTGGCAGAATCAACACATTCAGAATGTCCAGCATAATAATATGAACGGCCAAGAGAGAAGTCTTGTACGCCAGCAAAATGGATATCAGAACAGCCGCCAAAACAGCTTCCAATCTAATTATCAGCAGCAACAGCAACACCAGCAGCAGCAGCAACAACAACATCAACGACAATCAAGTACCTATGCAAACGGCTGTCCGACCACGAGCAACAGTTATCAGGCTGGCTATCAGAATGCTAGTATACCGAGATTCACCAGAACGAACACCTTCCAAGGGAATCGCTACAACCGTCAAAACGCTTATAATGCTAATCAGACAGCCGGTGGACAAGGCGTCTACTCGATGCCACCTCCGTTCATGATGCCATCCGGTGGCCACACTGATTCTGGAATGCAGAGTCTCGTTAACAACAAGTATTTCCAGACGAATCGTCCACCACCGAACACGGGCGCCTGCGCTTACCAATCGATGGGATACAGCCAGTTCCAGGCTGTGCCGCCGTATAGTTATCCTTATCCGCCTACACCGGTGCAGCAGTGACGCTTTACAAGGTGCAAGTCGGTAAGAGTGCAGGCTAAGTAAAATGATCAATCTTTTCCTGTTTATACATATATCCAGACCCACTAAATATTTACGGTTTGTGTAGAAGTACTGGGTCGCTTTTGAATATAATAAGTAACGTAATGTTTCTTCTTTTCTTTGTCACTTATTATTTTTTTTGTTCTGGAATGGTGCCAATCACATGTAGAGCAAAATTATTTATGTTTCTTCGTGAAGTAAAATACAAACATAGAATTAATAATTTATCATTCGATCGGGAAATATGAATACTTACGTCAGAATATCCATTTCAAATATAAGAGAAATTAATCGTCGAGCGTCCTTAAATTCTCGGGGGCACATTCCAGTCGAGTTTTTTTCAAGTAGCTGTAGTTGTTAGCAATGGTACATTGGTATAATCATTACTGGATGTAGAATGTGACCAGCAAATATAGGCTTATAACCATTGGTCATATCTTTTCAAAAATAATTAATCTTCTTGCGATAAAAAAAAAACTATATATACGTCATTTAATGCTTTTCCGAAATGCACGAAACGTATAGAAGGGGGGTGGGTTATCGTTCTCATATTTGATAATTTATTTATATTTTGCATATATATATATATAAATACGTATGTACAGGCAACGCTCTTCAAAATGTAAGGCCTTTTGCATAAAAATTAAGCCGTACACACCCGTTTTTACAAAAAAAGCGCACGACGAATACATTAAGAAAACATCGTGTGTGTGTCCTCTGCTCTGTAAAACGAGTCCGGGTGAATTGTGTCTCTTCGATATAATAAGGGGCGAAAGAGAAATAAGTATCTCGACATCAAAATTAAACTTTGATGCAGAATAAGAAAAGAGGAAAGAACAGCATAATTAATATAGCGTACCAAAAGTGAGTACTTCGAGATCTATCCTGGACCCGGTGTTTTTTGGAACGATTCCAAGCGAGTGAAACCGGTTAAAATAAGGGGAAAGAGAAAGGAAAACTTGGGGCTTCTAGGGGACAACTTAAATTAAGCATGTAGTCACAATGGCTGTGTACCTTGGCGCAAAGTTTGATACCTTATTTTTATAATATATATCAAAAGTAATTTGTTGTTAAACCAACGACGAATGATTATACGAAGATAGAGAAAAAAACGTAAGAGAAACATTGTTGTTTGATGTTTATGCAATTGGCCACTGAGTGGTCTTGGCCTTGCGCGCCTGATATATAAGGTGCTCTCGCAGGCTGGCCGCGAATCGAATATAAAAAATGAGAGAAATTTAGTTGTACCTGTTTTTTAGTTCGCGCTCAATCGAAATTCTTGCTATTTTTTAAGGGAACGATTCAAGACTATCCGAGAGACAATTTTTCTAACAATCCATATGTGTTGTGTATATATCGTTACGGCCATTCCGAAAAAAATGCGACTCTCGTAGGAAAAAATTTTTTGCGTGAGAGGAAAGGTGTGAACGAAAAAAAACGAAGCCACGATTTCATGCCGCGTGTGAATCAGGCACGTTATCGTTTATCGACAGCGCATAGCGATTTTTTGCGGGCCTCCAGATTATACTCTGTACACGTCACTACTCGAATAAACGAATAGCAAAGATAACTTAAACGAGTAAAGAAATCAACAGAGAAGAATGCAAAACTCGAATAATAAAACAAAATCTCGAGCAAAGGACTTTGTTTGCGAACGACATATATTATTGTGATAATTATACGTAACGCTTTCGTGAAACGGTCTCACAGTTCGTTACTTAATTACGCACAGTAGAGGATGTTGTTAAGCAGTACGTGTGCACATTACCACAATTTTCCAGATGAATTCAGGAAAACCGCGTCACACACATACTTCAAGCGGGCATTTACGCATTGCTCGACGAGAGAGAGGTTTCGATGAGAAACTCTGTTGATTCCGTTTCTAGATTTCCACGGTGGTATAGTCATCGTTTATATTCTTCTTTCCCTGTACCGATTGTATTCGGACAATTTCGAAACGCCTGATAGCGAACAGAATTTTAGGCATTCATCGTATATTGTTGTCTTTGCCCTTTCGAACATTCTGAATGCTAACATTGATCTGACTGCAACACGTTTCGCGTCAGAATGAATAGTGATATAATAATAGGAAGCGTATGCTACGAGTATTGGACAATTCTGAATACTCATATATTGCGTACGCCCTCTAATAAATCATCCTACTGCTCTAAATTCGTTCTTCATGCTCGCATTTTCGGTTGCTGTTCATCAGGGAAACTTATAATTTCATTCTACTTTCGCTTCTTCTTGAAATTGTCTACCACGTAGACTTTATCAAATAGCACACTGTCATTGGTTTGCTACATTCTTCCATGGAATTACACTGCAAGCGAAGCGTAGCTTCATGCATTTATCAATTATCCAGAGGCTTTCTTATGGATGCACATGTAGCTGTTATAGTGATTTAACTACTTTCGAGTATTTAAGCAAGTCTCGAAATTGCAACCCTTTGAGCTGTACCGCATTCGTTTCCTAAAACTATAAGCGATGCGAAGGTGAATAAAAATAACCGTTGAATATGCATATTTATCAAAACTGAATTTCCCTACGCATAGTATCTATAATTTGTTAACAGTGTTCATGTTAAATTTGGCTCGGGGTAGAAATGGTTAGGGGAGCAAAGGGTTAAATAATTTTTATATTTCATTTGACAAAACGTAACGAACGTAAAGCGTAAACGAAACACTTCTCAGTTTCCCAAGCAAAGAGGAGAATAAAAACAAGCGCAGCTTGCATTCTGAAAATTGATAGTGGGTGTACGCGTAGCTCTGTGATATGTAAAACGTAGCATATTTATAGATCTACCTATCGTACATCATGATTAAAGTAAGGAACGTATCTTATCAGTTTTATACACGTGGTATGCAAATCTAAATAAATGACGTGTACTGCGAGAGCTCGCCGTCTATTTTAAGGAGAGAGGAACGAAACTTGTTGGAAAAGCGAAAGAGATCAGTATTCATTTTATTTAATTTCTTTTTTGTGTTTGCCGTACGAATTTATATATCGTCGTGGTTGAGAGCAAGAAAGGGAGGGATTTAGAGGATGAGAAAGCGTGTATTTCTGTTCGTTTGTTATGTTCATCCGTGTATCTGAGAATTTTTGTTTTCATTAACATAGTTCGATAAATTCATTTCGTGAATGGGTATAAAAGCGTAGACGGGATGTTCTTCATTTTTCTTCTCTTCATATATCGTGAAACTGTATTTTCATCTTTTTCGTTTGTACGATTGTCTGTATAATCTTCTCATATTTGCGTGTTCGTCGCTAACAGAGGAGTCTACGGAATCTAGTGCTCTGATCCAAGTCTTTTTGTTCTTTTTCTTTTTTTTACTTGCGTGAACGAACAATCATTGTAAATCTTATGTTCGTATGTAATCGTACTGGGTACAGCGTCGCGTCGTGGGGAATTGTTAAACGTTAAGCGTGTACCTTTTCCGCGTAATAGAACATGCGGTAGTTCACGTTTTTATGAAGCGAAGTCGTGCGTCTTCAGTACTAGCCGACGAGCTTCGTCCTCGTTTTTTTTTGTATTATATAATATTCCGTTCCGCTGTGCTGCTAGAAGACGTCCATTCAATACCGTACATTTTTAACGTAAACTCGAAACGAGATCAGTCGTCTTTAGTTGATAACGAAAGATTCCCCGCAATGAGAGCAAAAATCCTATCACTCTTGTTCGAAATAAGCGAGAGCAAAGGGAAAGTGTAGCGTGTTCAAGAAGAAATTTTGAACTCTCGAATGCTAATGTCTTGACCGATATAATTCCAGTGTACATAAACATATTTCGATATCAGTTTCCAATACCGATTGTAAACTATCAATGGAAAAGGGAAATAGATTTCGACACAAGCTTTATTATCAATTAGGCTTTACGTTTGTTAACACTAGAACTACTAAAGTGCATTTGTATGTACTTGCATCAAAGGGAAAAAAGTAATAACTTCGACAAAATAAATAACGTAAGAGATGCTTCTCATACTTTTACGTCCAAGAAAACGTGAATCTATGGATGACACAATAATAGACAATTGCACATTCTAATAATGTAATTGAAAGGAAGTAAGAATAGAGGATCTCCAAATTTTTTTAAAATTCCATTGGTAAATTTGGAATAAGTAAATTGTTTTAGTGGTTCTAGTGTTATTTGAAAAAAAAAATATATTTTCGTGGAAGTTTCACGCTTGTACGAAACACCCTTTCGTCCCGGTTATTATGTTCGATCGATCGTTCGGACCTGCAATTTTATTATTTATTCGCGTGTTAATCTATGTTCGACAAAGGAAAATAAAAAGGTCAAGAGAAACGATAATTGGCACGGTTCTTCGCGCTGTAAAGAGTTGACGCAATTGTCAGCGTCAGTATCGTATAACGTAGCGTGCTGAAAATCGTTGACGACACTCAACTAAATAATAGCCTCGGGAACATGAGTACCTTTTTAATGATTAATGCTGAACGCTGTGATAATCGCGTACATAAACATTTTTATTATTATAAACGTAAATGTGCATATTGTAATGTTAAAAAGAAGAAAAAAGTAAGAAGAGTACTATTCTCCTTTATATGTGAAGACTGAATCTCGCCAACTTATACACAAGGTTTAGCAGCCGCAGATACATTTCGTATACTGTGTAGAACTACAGATAGACTATTTGTACATTATTAATTATAAACAATATGTTTTTGCGTATGGATAGTGCCGTACGGGGACGGTACTATTATGTTGATAGCTCGATAACGGGTGCGTGATCGAATTTTGCATTTTTTTATTACTCAGAGTCGAACATCTCTGGCGTATAGAGTGACGGAAGATCCGCCAGACTTTTCGCGTTTACTTTCCGCGGAGGGGTTGGAATAGTCGCACGAATCTGGTTTCCCACTGGGCTTTTGTTTGATCTTCGTTTCTCGCAATTCTTCGTCTGATTCGAATCGGAGTGCGATTCGGTTCGAAGCAAATCGAATGAAACTCGTTAACTTGGTTCGTCAACGATCGCTTGCCACGTTTGTTGCTTTCGGTTTATTCGTAGATCGTTCGTGAAAAGGAACATTACAGTAACAACAACAACAACAACACAATCCGTTTCATGGTAGTTCCTATATTGCATTCTTCTTTGTGAACGTGAATGAATTGCAGCTTAAACTTTGCTAAAATGAGTCGAGGAATTTCTCATGACATTCTTCCTTGCGCCGTTCTAGTTTTCGGTTGAAATGAAACTTGCGAATAATTTTATTGTCGTAGTCGCATGTACGCATCGCTAAGTTTTCGTATTACGACCGCGTCCCGATTGTCGCTGTAATTTTACTATCGTCCGCAAATTAAGGGAGAAATGTACTAAAAAAATTATTGATCGCTCCTAAACAATGATTGGAGTCGTGGATCAATCGTACGCGCGTGAAGAGTACATTTTTCTTTCAGCAAATATTTAGTCTTGAAATGAATGGAGAACCAAGTACGACACATCGAGATTAAATTTTTCGGAGGAAGCGAATTATTGTAACAGCGCCTTCGTTTACTTGTTCGTAATATTGTGTTTGTTTTCTTTAATTAAAGTTCGAGATAAGCGTAACCGATAATTATTCTTTACCAGAAGTTATATCTTGCGTCGTATGTGAAGATATCGTTTCTTTTCCTTTTCTTTACGACAGAAAATAAATTCAATTTGTTCCTAACAGCGAGCGTAAACTTGTTACGAACTGCAGCAAAATTTACTGTTAAGAAACGTTGGAACTTTGATGCAGTTAGGATTCATACACTTACCTTTGTTCTTTTGTTTTAAATTAATAATGCGTCTCGTAATGATGGTACATGTTTAAGCCTGGGCTATATTTAAAATGCAAATGATATCTTCGATTGGTAATTGATGTGTACTGATGTGAGACATACGAATTAACAAGGTCTACATATATGTATCGCCTAAACTTTCATGATTCTATTAAAAAGCTAAATGTGTACTAAGATATGCATTGATCAGTTAGTGAGTGCACGGAATAGTTTTCAATATCATAATGTGTACAACATGTTGAAGGATACAGTGCGTACATCCGTTTTCTGAAGTATTATATTTTACGTATACCCTGTTTTTTGAAATTGCTTGTTGAATAATCGACTTAATTATGAAAAAAAAATATATGTTTCTTTTTTTTTTACATAGGCGTTTAACCCTTTTGCTAAGGATACAAATTGTTACAATTATTTCTTGTTCGTCGAGGAGCCAAAGGTTCATTGATAAGCAACTTACAATAACGAAACTTATTGATAAAAATATGTGGTCCACTGAAAGCAACCATATCACGTTTCACTCGTCAAACGCTACCTTATTAATGATTTCGATTTTATGTAAATAGTTTAAAGAAGTACATCGATATTCCATTTTATCCACGATGGAATGATTTACATGTAAAAGATGTCTGTTCAGTCTATCAGCGAAAGGGTTAAATTTATCACACCAAAACACCATGTCACTTACTATTAATAATCTTTTGGTATGACCGATCAGATTTCTTCATCGTTTTCAGAATAGTAAAACATACAAATCCGTCGTACCTCGTCTTTCTGAAAACGCATGATATTTTATATCCAAAAAGTAACTTCGAACATATTTTTGGAGTCTAAAATTTTTCACGCGACAGTTTCATCTATACGAGCATGATTTTACGTGGATCATCGTATAAGTACTACGCGCTTATTTCTTCAAACGTATCGCGGAAACGGAAAAACGAACGATAAAAAATGATGATCCTCTCGTTCGAGAACGTGAAGCATCAAGACAAAGTTTCGAGAAATGATAAAAAAAAAAGTGATGTTATAGGAATTATCGTCGCGAGGGAAACGCAATTACAGCACGGTAGACTTCCTGTTGTTGTAATAGTTCACCTGTTAATGGGTCTGTTTTGAACGCGCATTAGAGAAGAAGAAAGAACGGTAAAGAGATTAAAGAAGGGGGTAGTTTGAAAAACGCTAAGGAAATTATAATAAATTGCGGGATGGACATGAGAATCATTGATAATTTAGCACGTGTAATTTTAGTCGTTTCTACGAGACCAGAAGAGTTAACAGAAAGTTCAGACCGCCACTGGTGTCGGGAGAAAAGTGTACATTAAAAAGAGAAAAAAATGATAATACAAATAAGTAATCTATTATTACGGCTTCATTGAACATCGCGCCTTACAATGTGAAAGAGCTCGGCCGCAACTGGTCATCCGAACGGGGCGTGTACGCAAGATTCGCGGACACGCTCAGGTCCAAAAGGATAAAACGAAAACCACTCGTCGGTCGTTCTCGAGTAAATTTTAAGATGAGCGTTCGCCTAAAATTGTTCGAACTGCAGCACAGAAAGACGGCATACAATACAATTGATAATTATATTATTGTAGAGCATCCGAACGCAGCATGCAAGAATATATATATTTGCGTCAATGTTGTGCGTAAAACTACATTTGTCATTTCTTTATAATGCATGTATACATGTAACTCGTGTCTGTATACATTTACATATAGAAACGATTTTAAGAAAGGATATTCTAGTCGAACAATGCTGTCCGTCAATAATAATGAAGACCTGTCTCAGTGTCTGGTATCTTTTTAAAGTTGCTGAAGAACGAAGAAACCGAAATTTTTTCTGATACTTAAGCAGAATATTAGAGCCTTGTGCCACAGTAACGAAGACATAAAAGGATCTGTGCTTCAAGTTTCGTAGCTTTTAATTTGGACAGCGTTGCTTCGAACCAGGTGAAAAGAAACTATAGAATATTCTTCGCAAGTAAACTAAAACGATCGCTTATCACATTATTAACAGATTCACTGCTGCCTTGTACATTTGATAATTTACTTCCAGACTAAATACGTAACGAGATAAATTTAAAACGAGTAGATTCGTCGTAAAAACTCTGGCAGTGAGTGTGTTAAAGATGACAAGTAATCTAGTCGAAATTATTCTGTCGTTAATTATTGTGGCCGTTGATGGGTGTAAAGATATATCGGAACGAGTATCTTTTAATATTGAATTAATTCTTTAAGCTGCGTCACAGGTAATTTTTGAATGGATAAATTACAGTAAATAATTAAATAATACAGTATTATCTTTAGAATTTTGACGCAAAACAAACAAAAAAAGCAGAAGACCAGTGTTAATGTACGCAAATGGAAATGTAATTTGTATAAATGTCGTTATTTTTTTGTTGCTTTTTGTCGTTCCTCTGTTATCGATGAATTAGATGATCCGTGTAAGTCGTTTTACTGCAGTTTTCACGACCAAAGAGAGGCATAACGCGAAAATAATGGCTTATTTTTCTTCCTCCTTTGACCATGACACTACTTTCGAAGGCGGAAAGTAAATGGATCGCGTATACGTCGCGAGTCTTCTATGTATTTTATCTGCAATTCTCAATGAGTGATAAAATACAAGTGACGTTTGTTAAAGATACCTTAGAAATAATTACTTTATGAGTCGCTCCTGTTTAAATACGATTTATGGTTTTCCGATGTAGAGAGAAGAGGGAAAAATTGCGTACACAAATTATTTATATAAGGCAGCGTACAAGGCGAACAATTTAAGGAAAAACAAACAATGGCGTAAATGATGTTAAGGAATATTTCTGTATTCAGATTCTCTTCTGTAGGTTTCATTAAAGTGCATTTCTTGTATGTTACACAGTATTATGGTAGAATGTAAGAAAATAAATACTGCAATAAAAATGTTTGTTTCTCTGTCATTTTCCGATATTCGTTTTATTTATTTTCCAGTTTCCTACAAATTGAGGCAGTTCTATAGAATTAACAATCAGATTTTTATAAATACTCCTGAATGAAGCTTTTGGAAAAACTATTTCTTATTCAAGATTTTATATTTATATCGAGTCTTATGAAGAACTGTACTTTCGTTGTCTCTATTCATATGTACACGTTGACATTTGAATATTGCTAGACATTTTTTAATAAAATCCAAACTCTGAACCGACCCTTTATAATCTACTCGTTAAAGGGTAATTAACCATGAATAAAATAATTAATCGATTATTTCTAAAGTATTCGAGATGGAGAGAAATCGTAAACTATTGACGATAGCGAAAAATATTTCACACAAAAATTTTAGCTTTAGTTCTCACCTACAAATAAGGTCCAATACAATTTCCCTGTATGTTCAAAGCTTTAACAATATTTGGGAAAAAATGAAATTTTTTACCAAAAGCTTGCTGTTTTGGTGGTGGGAATGGCAGGATTTTAGTGTAAGTTGTAGCTCCAGTTGCCAGATACAAGGAAGGTCCAATGCAATTTCCTTCAAACTCCACCGAGAAGAGCGATCACTGACTGTGTTTGAGACCCATTGGGCCTCACTTGCTATCCCAAAGATTAAGCATATGTGCAACTCTTTACTGTAATAGTATTTCCTTGATGATATTTGGTTCAAAATCGGGACATTCGAGGACCATCGATAATCGAATCAGTCAGTGTGTGTGTCGTTATTTTAATGTATACGTGTGATCCGGATCCGGATTGAAAATAAAACGAAACCAATAAGAATTAAAAATATATAAACATACATACATGTAATACTAACATCTTTAGCAAAACATTAACTGAATAAAATAATGAAAACAATTTATATGTACTAATAAGGTTAGGTCGGTGATAGTCAATTACTTCTACTTTTTGTTAATGTATATTCTTATCGAGTAAAAATAGAAAACCATAAGATGACAAAAATTGTGGAATTACGTCCTGATAGGAATTTAACTAATTCAAAGTTTGAGAAATATCAATTCTGTACCGATGACATCCCAGTAGATACTGAAATTGATTTGAAAACAGGTAAGAGTCGCTTAATAAAAACATTAGATTACTCGTAGCAAGCATAGTAACTAATACGGTAGTTTTAAAATATTTTCAAACATTTCCAGATGTACGTCGATTAGAGTTGACAACAAATCGAGACTCTCTTTTAGAAACGCGATTATTCGCATTTCATAATCATTTATTTAACAATCCGTACGACACGTCGTGTTGGTTCATAGATGAAAATTGGATTGTCTGGCGTTTTAAACAGAGTGGAAATTTGGAGCAAGTACATGTAATTCACAATTCAAAGGAAAATGTAGAAAACTTATTGTACAATCCATCAATTGGATTTACCAATAATAATATTGTTGTAATTTCTGATGGTGGCAATTGTTTGAAATTAATAATAACTGACTCTCAAGAACAAATTAAATCTTTTATATTGAACGATGCTGAACCTGGAATAATATTAGATGTAAGATACGTCAGTGACGTATCCAGCATTATGATTGTTATGTGCGACATCAGAAGTACAGGTGAAAAGAAATTTACAAGATTATTACTATTAACTTACAAGTGGAAGAATTCAGGAGGTCCCGATGAATCGATAGAATTTGTTAACAAAGAAACGTTAAAAGTAAAAGGTGCTGTTGAATATGTATATATCGAAGACACTGGTAGATATTTGCATTCTATTTGTCAAGACTACGTTGCATTTGAATGTTCAAAGGTAAAAGAATCTACTAGTGACAATGAGAACGATTTAGTAAGAACAAAAGAAATAAAGATTCCAAAATATTGTTGGTCCCAAGATGAGGACTCGTTGACAGTTTGGCTTAAAATAGATAAACAGTATCAAAATAAAGTTAAAGTAAATGTGAAGCCAATGGAACTGTCAGTGACAATTGATGACAATGTATTAATACAAGGGCAGTGTCAACACAAATTAGATGAAGTGGAGAATGTTTACCTAATGAGGCTTTAGCAGCTGAAATCCATTCTAGGTACATAAAAGATAATATGAATCAGATTACACTCATTCCGACTTCTAATGTATAAACTTAATTTCTTTATCTCTCAGGCTAGCACATTTGTGTTCAGATGAAGCTGATAATAAGCAGGAAGGCCAGCCTTGTGTAGGATTCAATGCTGAACAACTCGAAGAGTGTGACTTGGAGGGGAAGGATAATCTTCTACAAAGGATTGATCTCGTTGAAGAAAAAAATACTCATTTAGCTATGCTTGGTGCGAGCAATCATGTATTATTTACATACAAAACAACATCTGGGCAAGCGATATGCCTAAGACATGATAATGATGGTTGCTTGTGGGTAACCGGCGAAGTAGATGATACTAAGTGGAATATGGAACATTACTATACTTTTCCTGGTTTCGGATATGTCGAAGCGAGTAAGAGTAACAAGAAATTCTGTGTTTCTCCAGCTGGTGAGTATTTAATTCAAGAACAAATGTAAGCTTTATCTCAGGTACAGTCTTTTAAACTGCTACATTATTTTAGATGGCTCATACGTAGCTATACTTGAACATACGAGATACATATTTCTTTACAAAAGACCTGAACCGAACGTGCAAGTTGGAAAACAATGGATCGTAGATTTAGGTACGGAGACTTGTCCCATCATGGGAACAGTAGCTACGAATAAATACCTAATTGTTCTTACAAAAGACAAATTGTATCGATTAAACATATGTTTTCATTATTAACAATATTCATTCTATCGCAATCCCATACAAATAGTTAATGATTAACATTCATTTTATTACAATCCCGTGCAGTATATGAATATATTGTTTCTTTACACATGTACTGTACTATATATATTTACAATTTGTATACACATATATTTGTATCTCTAAAAAATTATACACGATCAGAAGTGAATAGTATTTAAAAATTTTAATCATTTCTATGAAATTCACTTCGGTGAACTATACAATTCGTTCAGTACTGTAAGGTAAAATTAATTTCACGACACTTTTTTTTAATGAATTTTGCAAATAGTTCAACAGTAAGCGATTCGTCGTTAGGCCAATACCAAATAATACGCTTATCGAACGATTCTTCGAAACCCGCCTCTGCTTCAGTAGGTCGTTGTTCATCGCATTTCGTTTCCCCGGTTTTCGAGTTGAAAACATATGACATAGGATGCTTTGTACTTAAGTATCGGTTCCAAGTGCCTGCGGTACTTTTTAGAAAAATTACGCTATTTGGTATAAAGTATAGTTTATCATTCTCAGAACTGTCACAATCTAAAAATGTTTGTGGAATATCATGTGTCAAAGCAATCCTACTGTTCATTCTACGTTCCGTTACTTGTAACTTCCTACATATGTGCGAATCCATCCGGAATAATTCCTTTACACGTATTCGAGTGCAAATGTTCCCCATTGGTTTCCATAACGCTTCACATAACTGCTTTGTAAGTTCGTGCCTGTTTGAAATATTAATTTTACATAAATCACGTATCATTAAATAACACGTCGTGTCAAAATAATTTTTTTACCTTTCTCTCAAGTATTTTTGACTAATATTTTCTCCTCCCAAGAAATACGCATCTAAAATATGCAATGCAAGTACTTTCTGCATGTGCTTAAATTCTTTTTTCATTTCATATAGAACTTCAGCGTACAAAAGGGTATCCGGTGGTAAGTCAATAGTTATGTCGTCGACCAGTTCCCAATTATTTTTAACGTATCGATAGACGTTCCTTCGGCCCAAGCCCATATAAAATGTAGCGTTCTTGTCGTCGTAAGTAGGGCCAGTACCACATGGCATGCAAAACCAATCATATGGCGTTAATATTGTGCTCTCAATATTATCCTTGGTTAATTTCTTCGCAGTACTACAAAGGAAAGTAGTACTTTTAAGAAGTTGATTCAATTTCTCCTTAGGCTTCATTTTCCTGGGCACTGTTCTGCTTTCATCAGGTATGTCCCAATATTTTAAACATTCCGTGCGCATTTCGGCCTGTTTCACTTCAACAAGAGTACTATCCTCATAGAAAGCGGCGATTTTACACAATCCTATTACTTGTTTCCTTCCTAAAACCTCGTTGGACTCACGTAAATATTGTAGGAATTGTTGCTCCCTTTCCAACTCATCCATTGACACTAGCTGCACAACGTCATCATTTGCATCGCCTTTAAGAAGTATTTCATTTACTTGTACAAGATGTCGTACAACAGCTTCCGTGCCAGGCCGTTTGTATTTGCATATTAGGTAACGTTCCGAATTCGCTGGTCTAGAAGAATTTGGTTTGAAAATGCAAACCTCCTCGAAGCAGCGGTACATTAAATAAACTAAACCCGCACTGAACGGCGTAAAAACATCGAACAATTTCGTGACGAAATGTCCTTTCTCCCTTACGATCATCAGTGCTACTAAGCATTGGCAGAGGTACAATTGTTTAGAAAGAATTTCTTGTATATTTTCTTGGCCTTCTACTGAAAATCCTCCATCGGACATCATGAAATGTACTCCTTTGCCACGAGTATGTGTCATTATAAGATTTCTAAAAGCCTCTTGATTACTAGGATCATAAACATCACCATCATCCTTCGGTCCATAATACGGGTGAAATGTTTCACAAGGGCCCGCATAAAAGTCTGCCAATTTAAAGTCGTTTTCGTTCTTCAAAGTAAAGCCAAATCCTTTCGCGCGCCACTTTTTCCTCCATAAAACGTACTCGCTGAAACCACCTGGCCCAGCACACACATCCGCGAAGTATAACAATTCATTGTTTTCGGGTTGAAGCCCGGCAGGATGATGCTTGGTTGATTCACGCCCGGCGGGTTTAGTGAACATAAAGTTACACGCCCTGTCCATATTTGCCATCTTGACGGCAGCGCGGTTCAGAAAAAATGCGCCGCGAATCGTCTCATAAGGATTGCACCGTGTCCTGGCGCGCCGTAATTCAACGCCATCCAAATTATCAAATACGGTTTTCGCCCTAACAACATTTCGAACTATATCTTCAGAACAGAAGTTAAACTCGTCATCTATAGTCAATTTCTTTGGTCCTCTCTGTAACCAATGTTGCATCTCATCTAGCGTCAGACCATGTTTATTCGTATTTCTAATCCATGTCATGTCTTCCACAACTTTTATCTCCTCTTCCTCTGGAACCCATTTCAGACTCGAATCTTCAAGCCCTGGAATATGATGCCCAAGACCTCTACGGCCGTGTTGTTTAGACGCTTGCACCGGTTCTAAACGACCTTGCTTATTCTTTCCAAGACCATGACCTTCTTCGTATCCCATTTTTCGCATCATTCGCTGCACCTTATTGTTGTCACTTGTCGGCTCCTGTTTGTTCGTTGCTTCATGAATTTTCCCATCATTACTACCATCTTCCCTCCCAGTTTTTAGCTTTTTATACTGGCTACTTGGCTCATATATAGTTTCATCTCTGATTCTTGTAGATTCGCCCATTGTGTCCTTACAATTCAATTCATTGTCCATCATCAAACCGTTTGTTTTACTCTGACTGCTCCCTTCATCAGCTGAATCATGCTCAGAAGATGAAGAGTGAAATTCAATATTACAATCACTGTCATTTAAATCAGAATGCTTCCTCTTTTTGTTAAAGCTTTCATGATCATTTTCGTCTGAGCCTAAAATATTAACACATTTCAATAGCAATGAAAATAACACAACACAGTGAATGTTTTAGTTCATTCCATGAATATTTCAGTATTCCAAATGAGATAGAAGGAGAAAAAGATATTGCAATTTAAAACAATTAAGTCATATAAACTATGTGATATAAATATATACATTAAAACATTTAGAATTTATTCTAAATTAAAGAAAGCTTAATAAACATAAGGGAAAATTACACTTACTGCTCCTCATGTTGACAGGAACTTTGTTGAAGTTTATCACCAAATTATTATGTTATATTCCTGATTAAGTATAAGTGTGGAAAAACAATATTAGTTGAGATTATTGAATTAATTCCATGTCATAACACTTCATTTCACTACTCTGCAAATATTTATAATACACATGAAAGCACTACATAGAAATCGCAGGTTATGTTTTCATCGCGACTGTAATAATAGTTACCTTCAACAGCGATTCAGGTATTAATTTTTAATAACGCAGTAAGTGACACTAAAATAACTTTTAGTATAATTGGATTCACAAGAAACATGTAATGTGTACAAAATATACGATTAAATACGACTGATACGACCATACGACTGGACGGCGACGATGATAAGTCGATCATCGTCGAGCATCGATTAGTCGATTTCTCTACCAATAATGTTCAAACTTCAAGCAGTATAGCCTTGGTAGCCATTAGCCATTGTGGTCGAATTTTTACTTTCTACGCGCTCTTTTTCTTTTGCATATTTCATAAAATTAATTAGTGATTGTGTAGTAAAAGTGTTTAAACAACAAAGAAGAAAGCATCGTGACATCACATGAACGTTTTCTGCCAGTTCTCGCTTCAATCATCTCATGTAAGTTAAAATTTGTCTCTTATTCAGTTTGTGAATTTCTCGATACATTTTAGCCGCATTTTCGTTTTTAAATCGTCAGAAAATTAGTTTCTGTACGAGACTAGACATTGATTACAAATTATTTCAATGTTTTACCCATTTCGAAATAGATTTGTCATTTTATAAAGTATTAAAGTACAAAAAAATATGCATGCTTCTAGAAATCACTTAGTCATTTGATTGTATTTTACGTACGAATAAGACCAAGTGAATGAGACTTTTCGTGGATTCTCAATTCACTTTTGTCATACTTTAAATTAACAAAAATCCTCCTTAAATCAAGGAACGCGGTAGCGTCCCGAAGGCAAGTGCGAGCCGTTAGGTGGCAGCATGCCTATCGGAAATACGAAACGAGAGTTATTTGTTTAATAGAAAATTGCAGTTGTTCTATAATTTCCATAGATCTTTAACAATAATCGATGAGCTTGTACCACGGTTCATTTTTAAAGGCAGAGTATTTCTCGCATATTTTTAATGAAAACATTATTTTGTACATCGTAATAATATACGCTTAGACGTAAATTCTCACATTCTATCAACGTTGAGGTCACTGACGCGCGCATATAATAATTACAGCGCGAAATCAAAGAAACGATGTTATGCATTCGGTAAATCGCCGTGATTAATCCAAGGACAATATTGACTCGATGGAGTTTCTGTTTCTTGGTTGATATCTCACACCAATGAGATAGTTTAATGGACTTTCAAAAGTTCTTCGATCGTCCGAGAAATAGATGGGCTGCAAATTGACTACGAAAGGCCTTGAGCGATCTAGAAAGTCACATACACAATTTCTTAACACTTGTATTGTTAGAATAATTAAGGATTGCTTAAAGATACGTGTAGGGATTGAAGTTCATTGATGGATTAATTTTTGGGAGGTTTTTTCAAAGTATGTTTATTTTTTACGCAGAACACTTTCACATACGAGACAATCTACACAGAAAAGTAGCTACAAATTGACTTGTGTATGTATACGTTTACCAAAAATAGTTTGGGTTCTATCTTTTATTTTCGTACGTTTAGAATTAATACCTTTAATACTAAAAATACATTTGTCGATCAACGTTCGTGCATAAAGTATAGGTAGATATGAGGAACAGAAACAATGTTGAAATTTTATGTCTCTTAACAAAGTATGCTCTTTCGCGAGAGTTTGAAGTAATACTGACCTGAAGGTAAATTTTCGGTGGTCGGTCGTTGTCCAATACCGTTTAACGTGACTTCCTAAATAAGATTGAAATTATTTTATAAAATAATTCATAACTGGATCATATATTACATACATCGGAAAAACAGTTTTATTACATTCCAAGGAAAGGGAAACTTAAGAATATGTGAAATTATTATGATTACATTTCCTTAATTGCATAACATGCATATGAATACATCCCGTTGAATTGTTTCTGGCGTGTTTATGATTCATGCAATATTGATTGATGTATTGCAGTCAAATTCTTCAAGTATTTTTGCACTTATTCTTTCACGTTAGAATTTATTGTAACTGATAATTAAGGATGTATTGGCTATACAGTCAATCCCAAAAGTTTATGTACTTTAGAAAAACGTATTCCCTATAAT